GGAAGGCAGACGAGCTGCTTGAACTCTGCGCGCCGGCGGCCGGAACAGCAGTACTGCTACGTGCTAGCCGTCCTTGCGCCCGGTCCGGGGATGAGGACGACGTCCACATTGTGCTCCTGCAGCGGCGACACCGAGCAGGAGCTTACCCAAAGCTAAACATCCATGACCGCCATGTCGACCACCGTTGTGGCTTCCCTTTCTCGCCGGTTGCCGCACCCAGTCGACCTTTTCCTCACCATGGGCGAGAACGTGCGTGCGTACGTCGATGCAGAAGTCCACTGAATGAGAAGACCGCAGCCGGCCCGATGATCGCAGCGGCCATGGCGGCTGCGCTGGTGCCGCGGGAGGTCGCGGAGGCTGCGGGTCTCCGCCTTTCACTGTCGCTCAGGAACTTTTGGCTCAGTAAGAGGTGCCGAGCCCCCCCATGGATGGCGCCGAGGCGGAAGGGCGGCTCGCTGCTAGCGCTGAAACTAGCGAGCGCCCTAGAATAACACGTACCGCCACAACGAACTTTCCTGCGCCATGGTCCAGAATCTCAACCGCACGGAAGCGTCCAAAAGATTTAAAATTCGCTCGCGCTCGTCTATCGTATCGTACTGTTCCATACTGTATATCTGCATTACCTCCTATTTCCACGGTCCACACCTAACTAATAAATGTGACTTTCACGCATCCCAAAACTGAAGTGAACGCACAGGATATTGGGACCATATGTGCCCGGGCACCAAATCGCCATGTCTCTTCGTGCAAGTGATCAGTTATTTTCAAGGTAATTTTTATATACACTCCAGTTGACCAATTATGTAGGATGCCAATGTACATGGATTCATAGTTTATTTTTTCTGTCTGCTTTATGTGGCCTGTCTAATTTCTTTCTAGGCTTGAGCACCTTTCCTAAATTAAGCTCCAGCATTTTATTACACAAGGGATTTTTTCTTTTCTTTTCAAATAATAGACCAAATCCGAAGTTTAACACACATACATTAAGTTCATCAAGGTTAGCTTGGAATTATAGTGGTCTATGACACACATAAATTTGTTGATCACATTCCTATAGGTATGTAGGCCATTAGTTGTCACTTGGGATGGGTGTGATATGTAGCATTTGATCCCAGGAATGAATGGTTCTGTAATGGGTATGATGTTTGGACAATAAAAGTTGAGGCCGACCTGTATTAGCACTATTATTTCCCGAGAGACTTGTTTTACAGGTGTCTGCATTTTTGTAATATGTTATGCACCTATTTGTATATGATGCACATTTTGTTCACTTGTTGCCTGGCGCAGGACGAACTTGTTGTTGTTAATTCGATTCAGTTCATCTTTAATTGATTGAGTGTGTGTCCATGTTCTAGGATGCCTATGGAGGTATTTTTTATGCAGAGTCCTGCCCATATGCTGGAATGCAAAAACAATCATGGTTGCAAGAAGCAGCATTTTAATCACATAGCCGAAATCATTATGAGAATGATATCTACTGTCTGTGCTACCTGCTACTCCATGTCAACAGTAGGTATGCATGCACCTTGCACCTTTCGTTTGCCATCTCCAGTATTCCCCCCTCTCACTGCAGTCTCCCTCCTCTAGGTGTTATTGATACTTTGTTAGAGTTGGATGAAAAATCGCCTAATGAGTGTTTGAAACTACAGACGTCATGGCTGCTGCAAATTATGTATGTGCTCCAAAGCTCCCTATTTAAATTCGAGCAGAACAGGCAGGTTCAGAACACATGTATCATTTTTGTATGCGACTTTTTCCTACCCCATTTAGAAAATGGTACTAGTGAAAGCAATGATTTATATTTTACTTGCCTCATAAACAAAGCTAATATAGCTAGGGAGTAAGAATTTTGCAAAGTAGGAACAACTTCTAAGTGTGCTTCTTCGGTCCTGAAATAAGTCTTGTCTTGCGTGGTTTCGCTCGGCTTTTGTTCTAAGAAGCAAAATGCTTCAGGTTTCGGCTGTTAGGACAAACAAGTCGTAAGCCACCAATGCCGAACTGTTTAATGATATTTTAGGAGGGTCAAGAAAAAGACTCAAAAGCATTGCTTGCTCCCTGATTCCAGTTTCTGCGGCCACCATTGATAAGCATGGAGCTGAGCAAATGAGTATCAAAAGGAAGTCAAGGAAACTTCGTCCTCTATGCTGCTTGCGATGTAGTTCTCTAGATGCTCATCAATTTCGCAAACTAGGATAACACCCACTATTTTCACTTATTTTAAATTGTCAGATCCTATAATGGCATGGATAATTGTGTTGATGCCATTGTTTCCTAATTACTATGATATAATTTGCCAAATGAGGAGGTGGCAGAGGTGCCGCCCAAGGAGGTCAGGGGGAGGAGGTCAATAAGGCTGGGGAGCGGAGGCGGGGGTTGACGGGTTAGAGAATGATCAAGCATGTGAATCTATAGCACAAGCTCATGATTTATCAAGGGAGTGGTGCTGCCGCCGGAGTAGAAAATCGTATCTCATATTAAGCTGTTTTTGTCTTTTGTTTTTGTACAAATTTTGTGCAGGCAAAATTTTGATGACGATATATATAAGATGACTAGCATTATCTTTTTACTGAGTGCATGTTCGGGTAACTCACTTAGAATGGGAGTCAGTGGAATTTGTGATAAGAGTGAGGATTGAGAGTGAGCGTAGGGTGGGGGTTGGGATTCGCAACATTAGTAACACATGAGTAATAGACAGTATTATGGATTATAGTGAATACTCTGAACAATGTTAGAAGCACTACTATATGATTACAACAGCACATTTCTGATATAAAGTAAGATTAAAATGTATCGCCTGCAGTTATGACTCACTGAGACTCACGGCCCCCGCGTCGCCAACACTTGGTGACACGGGGGAGATCGCGCCGCCGCGCCCTAGGCCTCCTCTCCCCGATCTCTTCCTCCTGCCGCCACCTGAGTTCACCTCGGCGAAGCCCGGGCTGTGGGCTGTGACGGTAGCGGCGGGGTCTTCTCCCTCGCGCGCGGTGGCATCTTCCTCTGGCGGCGGCAACGTGGCCACTCCAGTGATTCGGCGGCGCGGTGCGACGGGATCTCGGCAGAGGATGTGGCGACGGCGGCGGCGCAGCCTCCCGTGGTGGTGGTCGGAATCTCGGATCTCGCCGGGCTCAGTTGGGCTTAGGCGGGTCGACGGATCTGGTGTGCGGTGGCAGGCTTGCGCGGTGGACCTAACGTAATCGGCCACTCTGGCACCGTGGTGGTGCCGTGGCCGGTTAGGCGGCGACGGCTGTTTCCTTCTGGCGATCCGTGCACAAAAAGGTGGATGGAGTTCTTCGAATAGATCTGGGTGAAAACCCGCTCTCGGCTAGATGTCAAGGCCGGCAATGGCGGCGCTCTTCGGCGACGTTCCCTTCTTGGAGGCATCGCCGTGGAGAACTTCTAGGCCAACATCTGCTACCGTGTGAGTGCGTCGGACCGGTGTGTAACCCAGTCCCGGTATGTGGCTAGGCTGGGGCATCTGGCGTTAGATGTTAGGCTTTGCTGCGATGTCTATTTGGTATTAGGCTCGGACAATTGGCACCCCTTCATCAAGGGGATAGGAGCAACAGGTGTTCCTTGGATGGTGGCTTCAGGCGTATGGATGTATTACTTTGTAAGGTCTTTAAGAATAATTCATAAAATGGCTGCATGCATCATTCAGATGCAGAGGCCGGGGGTACATCCTCATTTTCAAAAAAAATCTGACCAATGTAAGCTGAGGAAAAAGTTTTATTATACTTGCTCAAATATCATGCAAATGAAGCTAAAGACAACATTTCTAATATTGTGTGAGAATTTCTTAAGCGCAACACAAGGAACAATAGATATTAATTTTTAATAGAATTTTAGTTGGATCACCGCTCTATATTTATATAGTGTTAATTTATCTCTTTTATCAATTTACATTGCAAGTGAATTGGACTTCAATAAATACCCTGATTGTGCCCGTGCTATTTGTCTCTGCATGTGAAATTTGACATGCGTTATGTTTACATAATTCTAGCAAAAAAATCGTAGCACATGGCAAGGCACCGACATTCCCGTGCTATCTTATCTCTACATGTGAAAGTTTACGCATTATGTCTATACAACTCAACAAAAATATTTCAAAAGCCCGTGGCAACGCACGGGCATTCTACTAGTAGCCTGTAATGTGGTAGTTTTTTGCTATATACTCCTTGCAGTTGGGCAACCGACTAACAACCTTCTCTTCAACTCATGCTCTTGCAACCTCCCCAAGAGGTTTGGGTGCGTTTGGCACCCCTTGATCGTTGCAATCCCGTGGATATTCGTTTGTTATTCCTAGAATGCACAAGTGTTCCATGACATTGACCAACTGACAAATGCAAAGTGTTCTCATGATATGGTTTGTCTTGTTCAAGTTGTTGGGCCTTAGAGTAGCCATCGACTCAGGTTTGAGTACATCCGGGTATGATCAGGCTCACCATTGTTATCCTTATGCTCCTTTTGAACGGAATTCAGATGTGGATTCTCTTCCGCGGTGACCGATTCTTAAAAAATATCGTTATGCATCATGAGTTCGATCCATTGACCCTTATTGTCAGATGTAGATGCATTGCATCACAAACGTCGCCTCCAATAAACATTGTTGTGGATCGACGCTCTAACACTTAGATTCCACAGCTGCACTTTGGATCCAGATGCATGCTGCTCTTGTCAATTTGTAATGGAATTGAACTTTGAAGTTTAATCACTCACAGGAGAAGGAACCGATTAAGCAAGTAAATTTGAAGTTTAATCACTCACAGGAGAAAGAACCGATTAAGCAAGTACTACACTGCAATGAACAGCGCGCAAAGTGACAACACAATAGACCCGTCAAAAAAAAAGTGACAACACAATAGAGACAAGTAGACTACAGGAGTGGCGGAATGTACCCTAACTGGACCGTGTGCATCTCACGATCTTGATGAATATGTCAAGTTTTTATTCAAGTTTGACGTGCTTATTTAGTTATATATCCTGATGAATATGGGAAGTTTTCAGAAGGCAACTCCTGCGCCGTCGGCGGCCGTGGGCTTGTACCCGGAGTCATGAGCCGCCTTGTCCGACGGCGGCATGTCGCCGAACACCATCCCCCCGAAGCCTCCGCTGAGCAGCCCCGTCCCGAGCCCCAGCGCGAAGCTGCCGTTCCTTACGTAATAATTCTTCTGCGCTGGCGACGCAGCGGCCGTGCCACAGCCGGCAGCTGGCTTGGGCGCCGGCGGCATGCGAGCACACGCCTGAGGGTAGCGCGGCACCGCCGCCTCCGGCGCGTATACGTACGTTGGAGGACAGTACTGCCACGGCGGCAGCTCGCACCCCACCACCGTGGAGTCGTCCGAGCACGACCCTTCGTCCTGATGATGAGGCAGCGGCACCATCACGGGGCCGAAGCGGTACGCCACGGTGAGCATGCCCCGGTGCTCGGTGCAGTGCACCTTCCGGACCGGGTACGACTCGCACCGCGGCGGGCCGCCGACGCAGGCGCAGGCCAGCAGGTCGGCGATAGGGATGAACACCTCGCCGACGTCGCGGTCGTCGAAGCCGAAGAGGCGCTCCGTGCGGAGGAGCACGTGGAGGTAGGCGCCCGCGGCGGCGGCCTTGGCGGCCGTGGGCGGGACGGTGAACATGAACGTTTCGTCCCACCTCGGGTGCCGGGCGCCGTCGCGGTCGACCTGGCTGCACCGCCGCGTGCGAGGGTCGCCGAACACGGACGTGATGGCGTACACCTCCATGCGGCTGAACACGTTGACATCCTTCAGGTTCTGACCCGACACCAGCGTCAGCTCCAGCACCCTGTGCGCCATTGCTAACCGCCCCAGCGCTGTTGGAGAAAGGGAAACTACGTGGCGAGCTGCGAGCTTTGCTGTACGGGCTTATTGCCGCCATGGCGCGCAGGGGGTATGTATAGAAGAGTCGTGCTGGGCCCGCTGCCAGCGACGTACGAGTCGATCGCCTGCTCCAAGTTTGGCGCCTGGGCAACACGCCTGCATGGATGTGCACGCATCCGATGCCAATGGACATTTCAACAGAATGTGCGCAACAGCTAGCTAGCTTGTTACCGATCACATTTGATATACAAAATTCTAAATTTTAAACTCTAAAGATCTCAACATCTCTTCTAGAATACCTATGGATTATGGTTATGAATCAGTGAATTGTATAAGACTGTTAGGTTGCTTCTGATGAAAGATTGTTCTACTTTTTCCCACTGATGCGACATATAATTTTCCAAACTACTGGAAGAGTGGAAGGTGCATGATCTTTTCCACTAGACGGAATAGAGTTCACAATCATAACTGTGGACCAGCTGCATGCCCAATTGCCCATGAAGAACTGGCAGAAAGAACTGCATGCATAATGTATTCTTTCCAAAAGGAGAAATTCTATAATTACAAATAAATATTCTTATGTAGGTAATAACTACTCCCTCCGTCGCATAGTATATGTCAAAAAACGTCGTACATTGTGGGATGGAGGGAGTGGTAGGTAACAAAGTTATTTGATTAACCATGTGAATTTAAACGCTGGATAAAAACATTAAATTGAAGGACAGAAAAAATGAGCACCTAAGAAAAAAAACATTCCTCAAATTGAACTTACAAATGATAATGAAACAAAAAAAACTCATACTCCTCATGTAAAAAATGGGTAATATTTTTTTGAATTGTTAAAATACATTCAAATCAAATGTTGAATAATCAAACTCAAAGACACCAATCGAGCTTTTTTTTAGAATCTCACAAAACTTTATAACTCCATACATCACGATGTTTACAGGGATGAATACAAGATCACCGGGAAGTCCTATCCTAACCAGACATGGCAGCCATACCCTAACAAAACTTTGCAAGATTATGAGCCTGCATATTGGAGATTCTATACTCATGACTAAAAACACATGAAAAAAATTACCAGATCTAGCTAGTAGTATTTCTTGAACTACAGCACCGAAACTTGCTGAGCTTCCCTTCTTAATTGCATCAATGGACACCTTGCAATCGTATGCAACAAAAACTCGGTTTATGTACAAATCTTCTGATAGGGCCTACCACTAGTAGAAAACATGGCTTTGATTCGGGCAGGGCAAGCCCATTAGTCCCGGTTCAGTCACGAATCGGGACCAATGGGGGCATTCGTCCCGGTTCTTTAGCCTAGGGGGCCGGCCGGGGCCTCGTGGGCATTGGTCCCGGTTCGTATGGACCCATTTGTCCCGGTTCTAGGCACGAATCAGGACTAATGGGCCTCGCTCCTGGCCCACAAACATTGGTCCCGGTTCTTGGCTCAAACCGGGATAGAAGGCTGGGCTTTAGTCCCGGTTCCAGCCACGAACCGAGACAAATGAGTTGCCTATATATACCCCGTCGCCGCAGCAGAGCACTCCACAGTGCTCTGTTTTCTCTGGCCGGCGAGGAGAGGGCATTTGGGTGCTCTAGCTCACCTCCTATGCACATGAGGTGTTCGATGAAATGCCTGAGCCACGCTAGTCAAGCTTTCTCCTCTCGAAGCTCGACCTCCAAGCTCCATTTTCCCCGAGATTTGTCTAGGTTTAGCGGTCCGTCACGTCCCGTCCCCGTCTTCACCGCTGTCGATCGCCCGCGCCGATCTCGTCGCCTGCACCACCGTGGTGAGCCTCTTGTTCTTATCTTCTTTTGAAAGAAAAAAAATTCTTACTTTAGATAGATACTTGTCTAATTTTCTTGCTTTTATTATTGCTTGTTATCATATAGTGTGATGGTTTTGGTATCCGCCCCCGCCGGCCCTCGTCCTGGCTATGATTCGGATGTGGTATATATTATCTTTTATAACTATTTGGTTCCTTTATTGTTTATGACAATTATGCCCATCAAGTTGACATAGATTTTATTTACATAGGAGGTAGTTGAACCGGAAATTCCAACCGACCCTATTATCGAGAGGTTAAAATTAGTTGAAGAAGAAAACAATTACTTGAAGGAAAAAATAAAAAAAATGAGGAGGAGAAGATGATATTGGAGTTGCATGTCGCGGATGTCGTCGATGATCATAAGATCAAGATGGATGCAATGCGGTTGAAGATTAGAAAGACTGGAAAATATGCCATTCATACCGAGGCTTGGTATCATTATGCCATTGGATCAATTTTTACCTTGGTTGTAATTATGATCGCATTTGTTGTTGCATTGAAAGGTTTTACATAGTATCAATGTATCGTTTAACTAGATGCTCTGGAGAGCTATATGTTGTTCAATGAGAACTATGTATGTACTTTGTTTTTAATGTGATGATGAACTTCTATTAATTTGGTCACTTATCTATTCCTGAGAGCTATATGTACTAAATTGATGATGTGGCTTTGAATGGTGTATTTTGAACACAGAAAAACTATGCAGTTTAAACAAGTTCAATAAAATGAAATCCCTTTGTAGCAGACGAGTTTCCGTATGAAACCCTCATACTTTGAAAGAGATTGTCCGTTTTGTACACGAAGTGCATCCAGTTTTTGCCACAACCCTCTCTACTTTCTTGCATATGCTATGTGGATGAAATGATGATACCATGCCAACTTTCAACCTTTTTAGAGTTCATTTGAAATGCTTTTCAATTTCAGGGTCATATAGCTCAAAATAATCAGTAAATGCATGAAAAATAACAAATGAAGTCGGAAAGGTTTGAAAATTGATGATGTGGCTTTGAATGGTGCATTTTGAACACAGAAAAACTCGTGAGTTCAAATAAGTTAAAAAATGAAATCCCTTTGTAATAGACGAGTTTCCATATGAAACCCTCATACTTCGAAAGAGATTGTCCGTTTTGTACACGAAGTGCATCCAGTTTTGGCTGTAACCCTCTCTACTTTCTTGCACATGCTATGTGGATGAAATGATGATACCATGCCAACTTTCAACCTTTTCAGAGTTCATTTGAAATGCTTTTCAATTTCAGGGTCTTATAGCTCAAAATAATCAGTAAATGCATGAAAAATAAAAAATGAAGTCAGAAATGGCTGAAAATTGATTATGTGGCTTTGAATGGTGCATTTTGAACACAGAAAACTATGGAGTTCAAAAAAGTTGAAAAATATGAAATCCCTTTGTAACAGACGAGTTTCCGTATGAAACCCTATAATTCGAAATAGATTGTCCGTTTTGTACACGAAGTGCATCTAGTTTTTGTCGTAACCCTCTCTACCTTCTTGCACATGCTATGTGGATGAAATGATGATACTATGCCAACTTTCAACCTTTTCAGAGTTCATTTGAAATGCATTTCAATTTCAGGGTCTTATAGCTCAAAATAATCAGTAAATGCATGAAAAATAAAAAATGAAGTCAGAAATGGCTGAAAATTGATTATGTGGCTTTGAATGGTGCATTTTGAACACAGAAAAACTATGGAGTTCAAAAAAGTTGAAAAATATGAAATCCCTTTGTAACAGACGAGTTTCCGTATGAAACCCTATAATTCGAAATAGATTGTCCGTTTTGTACACGAAGTGCATCTAGTTTTTGTCGTAACCCTCTCTACCTTCTTGCACATGCTATGTGGATGAAATGATGATACTATGCCAACTTTCAACCTTTTAAGAGTTCATTTGAAATGCATTTCAATTTCAGGGTCTTATAGCTGAAAATAATCAGTAAATGCATAAAAAATAACAAATGAAGTCGGAAAGGGTTGAAAATTGATGATGTGGCTTTGAATGGGGCATTTTGAACACAGAAAAACTCAGGAGTTCCAATAAGTTCAAAAATGAAATCCCTTTGTAACAGACGAGTTTCCGTATGAAACCCTCATACTTCGAAAGAGATTGTCCGTTTCGTACACGAAGTGCATCCAGTTTTGGCCGTAACCCTCTCTACTTTCTTGCACATGCTATGTGAATGAAATGATGATACCATGCCTACTTTCAACCTTTTCAGAGTTCATTTGAAATGCTTTTCAATTTTAGGGTCTTATAGCTCAAAATAATCAGTAAATGCATGAAAAATAACAAATGAAGTCAGAAAGGGTTGAAAATTGATGATGTGGCTTTGAATGGTACATTTTGAACAGAGAAAAACTCTGGAGTTCAAATAAGTTCAAAAAAATGAAATCCCTTTGTAGCAGACGAGTTTCCGTATGAAACCCTCATACTTCAAAAGAGATTGTCCGTTTTATACACGGAGTGCATCCAGTTTTTGCCGTAACCCTCTCTACTTTCTTGCACATGCTATGTGCATGAAATGATTATACCATGCCAACTTTCAACCTTTTCACAGTTCATTTGAAATGCTTTTCAATTTCAGGGTCTTATAGCTCAAAATAATCAGTAAATGCATGAAAAATAACAAATGAAGTCAGAAATGGTTGAAAATTGATGATGTGGCTTTGAATGGTGCATTTTGAACACAGAAAAACTATGGAGTTCAAACAAGTTAAAAATGAAATCCCTTTGTAACAGACGGGTTTCCGTATGAAACCCTCACACTTCGAAAGAGATTGTCCATTTTGTACACGAAGTGCTTCCAGTTTTTGCCGTAACCCTCTCTACTTTCTTGCACATGCTATGTGGATGAAATGATGATACCATGCCAAGTTTAAACCTTTTAAGAGTTCATTTGAAATGCTTTTCAATTTCAGGGTCTTATAGCTCAAAATAATCAGTAAATGCATGAAAAATAACAAATGAAGTCAGAAAGGGTTGAAAATTGATGATGTGGCTTTGAATGGTGCATTTTGAACACAAAAAAACTATGGAGATCAAATAAGTTAAAAAATGAAATCCCTTGGTAACAGACGAGTTTCCTATGAAACCCTCATACTTCGAAAGAGATTGTCCGTTTTG